AAATAAGATCAAAAAAAATAAAAATAATTTAAAACAGATCTTATCATCCTCCTTATATTAAAGGCGTCTAAACATGAGGTATCCTCAGAGATACAGATTTAAATCTGCATGTCCGACAGATAGGAACAATTGAGGAATTTTTTAAAATATTTTACCTATGTATAAAAAAGAGGCAAAATGCACTTTTTTTTCTTTTTCTTTAATGGCTTTATGTTCTGACCATATTAGCCAATGACAATGTTATATGCGTATTCGTTTTTGGGGGGAAGGGTAGCGTGAAAAAAAAGGCCAGAGGCGACGGTGGGAATCGAACCCACGACCGCGGGATCTACGAGGAGAGTCTCTCACGCTAACCACTCGACTACCGCGGCACCTATAAAAATGCACCTGCATAAAAATATTGCCTGATAATTCCAAACATTGAAGAGGTAGAGTCTGAGGAGCGTATTTTTCTTCGTCCCTGATGCAAAACGACAAAAATGTTACACAATTTATTTTTAAATTTTGACATATTAAACTGACCAATACATTTTTTCTGTAGGTGTCAATTAGCCAAAACCCTCGTCATCCAAGACCCACCCATCAATAATTTGCTTCAATTTTTAGATCCTCACGCAAGATGACTATATCTTTTTTATTTTACATTAAATAATGAACAAACCTTCCTTTTTTTTAATTTTTGTAGGAGAGCTTCCAACAGCAGAACTCATATCAACCCTCGGGGGTGTCGGTATTTTTGAAAAAAAATTTATACTTATGTCGGGTACGATTGCACGGGTCTGGATTCGAACCAGCGACCTTTACCTTACAGAGTTGTGCGCCGTGTCAACGCCTTCCGTTGCGGCTACCGACGCCCCATTAAATCTTATTAACTGTATCGTTAGGAAATAACAATGATTTTAGACTGATTTGATTGTTGAAATTAGTCCATATTATGGAGAAGAGTACAAATATGATTTTTTCACTTTGGATTCTTTCCATCGCTGGATTTGTCAACACACCCCAGAGAACAAATTTAAATTTAAATGCCAAAAAGAGATATTTAATGAATTGTTAGAGAAAAAATCGTATTAACAGTACAAAGAAGATGAAAATTATATCCCCATAATTAATTCAATTGTTTTTCTTTGCCCAGTTAAGGACTAAGCATAAATCTTTATCTCAACTAAAAACCTTAATTAATTGTAGTATATTAATTGGTCAAACGGACCACGAAATTAGTGAATTTAATGATTAAAAATGAAGTATACTAAAGCTCTCCGTAGCCATTTCATTTGTCGTCGAGAATCCAACCCGATTACACGACATTTGAAAAATGGCAAAAAGGAGGGAAAATTCAAAAGGTGGGGTTGAGATAGGAAGTTGGTGTCCGAGTGGATCGAGGTAACGATAGCTCAGGTAGTACAGCAGCGGCTAACCAAGCCGAAGATCGTGGCTCGAATCCCGCTCGTGCCATTGACTTTTTTATCTCAACTAAAAACCTTAATTAATTGTAGTATATTAATTGGTCAAGCGGACCACGAAATTAGTGAATGAAACTAAGCATAAAGTACGAAGTGTATCCTCAATTGAAACTATTTTATTATTTAAAACTTATATTAGTTAATATTTTTTCTTAACAGTCTTTAATACTTACGTATTTTGCCAAAACATGCACAAAAAAAGGTAAAATTTTATTTTTCAGGACAGTTGTAATTTTTTGGGATTTGAGGCTTTGATCGACATTTGGAATTAACTAGATTTTTTCTTAGCTAAAACAAATCTCACCTTTTATTCATATCTTGTTACGGTGTCGAAATTCCTAAACGTAGACAGAAAAGCATTCTTATCTTGAGAAACACGAAAAATGACAGAATTTTTTGCTATCCTGCTTTTTCAACATCATCTTTGGCCCAAAAGAAAACGAACCCTGACCTACCATTGAAATCCCTCCTGTTTGACAATGAGTTTCTCCGAACGAAGCCGACCAGTGTTGCAAAAGGGGGAGAGAACAGGAGTTGACACTACTTTTCTGGGCCGGCCTGAAACGTTGACAAATGAAAATTCGGTCGCCATTGTTAGCCGTTTCGACTTACCGACTACCTGGCGTCAAGGTTATTTTCAAAAACCAAAAATATTATTTTGATAATCGACAATCATAAGCGTGATACAAAAGAGGGGCGGCGTCGAATTAGGCTTTATAGCCCCGAGAGGAAATGGCCCGTGACCCGGCGATGCACTTGTCGACGCCACAATTGCCAATATTTCGATTATTATCATCGGTAAGAATAACCGCTGAATTGAGCATTCCGATGTTTCAGCCCCCAAAATGACCAATGCTGCTATTACAACAAATTGGCGTATAGGCGTGAAATTGTCTTCTTTCGAGTGTTGACGACGACGTGTGGGTTGAAAATAAAAAAGGAAATCGCCGGTTTTCTAATTTTCAAATTGGTCATAGTTGTCCGCCGGCGGTATGAAAACATTTAACCGAACCCGTAGACGTAATAAAAGAACAAGCGACTGAAGATGGTGGGGGTGCCAAAAATAAAAAAAAGAGGATGATATGGCTAAAAGTTAAATACTTATATGAATGGATGATATTATTCGTAAAAATTAAAGTAAATACCAGTTACGAGAGATAATTAATTAATTAAAACAAGCCGCGAGACTAAGTGGGCAAAGCTTATTGAGCGGTGTTATGTAAATACTTTATATCATGTTGATTGGAAATGCTTTATCGAGCTCTTCTGAGCTCCTCGGCAGCCAATTCGTTAATATTTTGGTTTAGTACTTTTCATGGACAATAAAAATATGATTTATAAAACTGCCAAATTGGCAGATGAGGAGCTCAGGGGAGGACGAATAGGTCTTACCAACCAAACATTAAAAAAGTATGTACGGAGCTGTGAAGTGCAGTACGAATCTCAAATTATATAAAATAAACAGCAAAAAAATAAGAAAGCAGTATATGACAAACCGTCTACGTTGTGATACGATTAATTTTTATTGATGTAGCCATTACCATAAGGGAAAACACATGCTTCAAGGCAGGGACGACCCATTCTGGGGATTATTTAATCAAATGGTCAACGCATTACAATAGATTAATATTTACTTTACCTTATTGATTTTGGTTAAAATGATCCATTTCCCGGTGACTAGCATGGATGGGCAGAGTTAATTATGTTAAAAGGAAAGGTAATAATCATTGTCCATCCTACCCCATATAGTGCAATTATGATTTTCCACGGTTGCAAGTATGTTTGCAGAGGCATGAGCATCCAAGGGTCGACCAGTGGGTTTTATTGCACCATGACGAGGAGAGGAACCGGTGTTTAATATAAGATTAATGGACGTGTCACCGTTGGTTCGCTTTCACCTGGTCCGCTCCCCCAGACCCGGCCGGCAGCCCTCGAATTCTTATTTAAACACACATTCGTATCCCGGCATCTCGAGCTTATTGTTCAATTCGAAGAAAATCGATATCGGTGGAAAAAAAAATCCTTTTTGCGGTGGATATCATAGACGGTCTCACCCCCTGGGAAAAGGCCACATGACCTCCGTTCAGATATCAATCTCTTCTTCGGGCCGTACGCCCCACGCGAGGGCGAATTTCCACCCCTAGAGGCACACTTCCTCCCCCAGCCTCCCTTTAAGGATTATCGTCACCATTTCCACTAAATTCATTTAATCACACGTCTGGAGCGTGATGCACTGAACAAAGATCGACGTATTTCATTATAGGAAATAAATGACATGTGACATAAAATCTATTTTTATGAATAAATGTAGTATTTATTTATTTTTGCGCCAAATCAGGGTTATAGTTAGTCAAAACGTCTTGTTTAGGGAAAGTTTTCGACAATATCTTTACCTGAGGTCACTACAGAGAACATACATCCTTTACAGTTTCCCCCTACATTTAAGAAGAATCTATTGTTGAACAAAACTAATTTGCGTTACATTTCCTCTTGTGGCCTGCGAAGTGATGAACCTGTACTTATGTGAATCCAATATTTTTGATCTGCCTACCCTTGCAGGCCACCGAAGGTGGTGAAGATTCCGATTAAAACATCGATGATTGGCAGACTAAAATGATCGTAAATTACCAAATTAAACTAATTTACTCACATAATTTGAAGATAATATCGAGTCTAGTTAGTATTCTAAGCAAGGCATACTAGATGGACAAACAAGGGGTAACCGTCAGAGATGCATAAACTTATGTTATGCAAGTAACAATTAAATTAAATATTACATTTTTTATTTGATTCAATTTTTACAATAAATACATTATAATGTGTATTTCCTATATCAGGATAGGCCTTTGATTTGAATTTGATTGATATGATTTTGTTTTCTTCGTAACATTAAGCTAAAAAGACATGCAACTTGCTTCAGACTTGAACCAATAAATTATCATATGAAAAAACTCCTTTCTTTTCGTAAATGTCATGATTTGGTGTATGATAATGGATCATTTCTAATTCTTGTAGAGATTGATTGAAAATTGCAAAAATCGAAAGTTGAAATGATGAGTCAATCGGGTTAAATAAATAAAATATAGTGGAATTTCTCTTAGGCAGTTCCTCATAGTTCTAATAATAACTTTATCAGTTTTATAGATCTGGTTCGTGTAAATAGCTTTATCTAAGTATAATGTAAATTTAATTTTAATGATGGGCAGTTATATTATTGGCGGAACCCTTCTATAACTAGCCATGAACCCATTGACATCACGTAGCGAGACGCAGTTTAATTGAAAAATGTAAACACTCCGATCGGGGTAAATGTGTAAAATAGTCAGTAATGAAGCTTGTCATTGGTTTATAACAGAGGGTGAATCAGAGAGCGGGATGGGGGTTGGGGGTCAGGGCGGCTCGGGGACAATAGAGGGTGGCAGATGGGGTGGGGTGGTGGAAAGGAAACATTGAATAGGACACCCCCTACCACGACCATCGAGGGATATAGACATTCTGCCGATGCCGATTTAGGCACAAATCATTCGTTTGGAGAAGTCGGCGGTCAAAGGGTGTCAGTGATCCGATACGCGTTGGTGTTCCCACTTCCATCTCAATTCCTGTGGAGTTATGCGTTAATCGGGAAAAATGAGCTCGACATACGTGAACAACCCGAGGCAGCAGGACCTGGAAGGTTTCTGGAACCAGGAATACTACAGCGCCGGTTACTACAATCAATACCCGAACTTCTGGAAGGCTCAGGACTGCCAGTACCAGAAGCAGGATCTTCATCAGCGCAATTTGCCCTACAGCCAAGAGCAGAAATTCCAGCCGGCAACCGACCTTCAGTACTACCAATATCCTTACCAACACACAATCCCAAGACAGGATGAGAAACCATTCGTAAATCGGGACAACAATAATGGCTCACCGCAGAAACCTCACCTGCCCACTCCTCCACCGGAAAATCCCGTACCCGAGCATCCGTCACAGGACGTCATATACCCTTGGATGAAATCCCAACACTGCTCCAGTAAGTTTTTTTTTTAATTAACAAATATTTCCCAACTGGGTCGATTAAGTTTGTTAACAAGTAGTATTTTCAGGAAAGTCACCAGGCGCGAAGAGGACGAGGCAGACCTATACCAAACACCAGACCCTCGAGCTTGAAAAGGAATTCTATTACAACAAATACCTCTCGAGGAAACGAAGAGTAGAGATCTCTCATGAACTTTGTCTAACGGAAAGACAAATCAAAATCTGGTTCCAGAATAGGAGGATGAAGCTCAAGAAGGAGATTGTCAAACCTGCCATGGACGCCGCTACTGTTCCTATGGTCTCCAGCACCACACTTTCGTCCGAGAATCAGATATTCGCTAAGATGGAACAGATGCCGGACACTATTCTCGGTCTCGACCAGCCTATGTGACATTGAAATATTTGAAAGAGAAAAACTAAAAAAATGAATTCATACAGTGCCTCATACAGTTGTAAATATCCGATGTTTTTATTGAAAAAAAAAAAACGAATTATTATTCTAGTCTATAATTATATTTTTTAAAGATTTTATTTATATGTATAAAAATTTCAAACATAAACAAGGCTCGAAACTGCCTTCTGTATGTATTTTCAAAAAGTGTTCTTTCCTTTTAAGTTAGTTTTGAAGATTGATGTATTTTTAGTCAGGTTTTTACTAGTAATTTTGTTAATATTCAGAGCTCTAATCAAAATGTAAATATCTAGGTGTTTTAAGAACATTTTAATCGAGTCAGTAGGTGTAAGTTCATGAATAGAAATATGCAATCAGTTCCTATTTAGAGTTTGTAATTATTAATGTATTTTTATGGAAATTTGAATAAATATTTTTCTCTATAAATTTCTATAGCTGTGACAACCCATTTTCGCCTTTCAACATGCTATTTTCTTGTTTACATTTTGCCGGCTTATTTTGACAGGCAAAGGATTATGAGTTTTGCCTGAAGCAACCCTTCCACGGGTCATAAGTCATTTAGTCGACAGGTCTCAGTGGGTTTGACTAAGTTCACGCTTTCGTTTTTCAAAACTTATTTCAATCGAAAATACCGCCAGACGGCAGACGATCGGGTCCCTACTTATGCACCCCCGGATCAGGCCTAGATTGGATTAGTGCAATCTGCTCCGGCCATTTTTGGCTTACTGACCCTTCCCCTTTGGTCGAGCTGTGTTTATCCAGTACATCCCGTTAAACGTAACTGATTAAAGGAGATTTTGTATGGCATACCAGTGTAAGGCTAACGTATTTTAACCCAGATTAACCTGAAATACTCATTCGTACTTAATACTGTGCCATAAAACGATTTAGTTAGTGAGGTTAGCTTTTTCCCAACGTGAAATTGAAGATTTGAAAAAATCGAGGTTCTCAACATAACCATAGTCTCATTTATTTTTATCTTTATGTGTGTAACATATCGGTTATATGTTGTCCTGGATTTTTACTGCCATTTTCATCTGTAAAATTTCAATTTTTGATTTATTTTAATTATTGAAACCTCATATTTTTACATAGAATAGAAGTTTTGTATTTCTGAATAATTTTTCATCAGTAAGTTTCAACTCTATGTATTAATAAATGGGTAATAAGTTCTCGAAAGCTTGACGACGGAAATGAATGTTTTCTCCCTTTGATCGTTTTTTAATACAAAATATTTTTCTTTAGACTATTAAGAATAAAGTAGTTATATAACAAAATCCTTTTGTTGGAACAAGCAGGTTTTTGAATCCACATTTTTTATTGTTTAGAAGTTTGGCTTTTTGCAGAATTTCAAATAATATAATCTCGTTTTTGTATGCAAACGTATTGTTGCAACGTGCTTTTTTAAAGTCGTTCAGAGCCCCTAGTACCTAGATTCAGTCTAAAACTAACGGTCCGACGGAAAAGGGCGTACAAATTTTATTTACAATCGTTCGCCGACCGTCCCAGAATTTTCCCTCCTTTTTTCACCGGGGGTCCCGTGCCGGACAGGGTGGATTTATGATCGTCCTACCTTTGCAACTTTCTCCAGGAGGGTGGCTTTCACCAAGGGCTATTCCAACCCTCGCCGGCGAAGGAGCAACATCTGAACACAGGTGAGCGATATTGCATTTCAAATTAATATTGTTATTAACTTTGTCTATTTGAAGAGTAAACGAAAGGAAAATTCGTTACGGGGTGTACCATTGAAGGGTACGGAGGAACAGTTGTCTTCCTTATATGCCATATGTCGCATTTGGATTTTTTCATAGCAGGACCTCTGTCGCCGTAACAATTATATCAAAATTTTTATAAGGTTTCATGGTCCGCTTATATCAAAAATATTGTCTTTTTAAAATATAATAATTTTCTATTTCCATGACAAAACAATACATTTTATCCCTATGTAATTTGTAAAATTGTTATTATAATTTAAACACCGAATAACCTCTTTTCTAAATATTTTCACATAGAACAAAAAAAGTAGTCAATATTGTATATTCTGAATTTTTTTTTAAATCGTAGAAGCCATTAGCCCGTTTTGGAAAAATCAATAACCTCCATTATGTGTGTCATTGTGATTGTGGAAAATAGCGAAGCCGGGAGAGGAGAGATTGAGATCGGAAGGGTGGCTGCAACCCCCTCGGTGCAGCTTGGCCCATGGCGGTGGAAGGGGATGTTATACAAACATGGCCGCCAGGACGACAATGTGCGAGACGCGGAACACTGTTTTCTTCATTTTTTCACGGTAAGTTTGACAAATATTTGTTTATAATATAAACTGTGATATCTATTTACTTAACCTATAAAAAAAACTGTTAAAAAGTACTGATTATTAAGCTAGTTTACGTATTAAAGACCAGTAGTCTACCGTTACATCATTGAGAAAAGAAATGTTAACAATTGGCACATATTTCGTTATTTTATTTATAAGTAGCACTGACTTTTAGGAATAATGAACAATAACAAATAAATACTAATTTAAAGTTTACAAGCGAAGAAAAAGTATAAATTCCTCCCCATATATCAAACGAAAGGGAAACCAATACCATTTCAATTTTATTTAAAAAAGTCGTATATAATAAATAAATACATAAACAATGATAGATTAACTAGTTTATCATTTGAACAACTTATAAAGTGCGAGTTTTTGAATAGATTTCCGTTGGTTGGAAGGTTATGTTATCCTCCCTTAGTTTATGCTACTTTTACGGTAAATATTTGACCAAACTAAACCAAAATAGTAGAAATTCTTAAATTAGAATGCGTTTGAATCGAACTTATGATCTTGACAGGCATATTTATGATTGGAAAAAGGTAAAGAGACTGTATAAACGGTTGTTTATACAAGTAACCTTACTCGTTTCATTGTAACCTTTTAATATCTTCAAGCTTCCTATACATAGTTGCGAGTAAATTTCAATTAAAAAAAGGTTCTTGTTCATTTATATTTAACTGCTTGCCCTTTTTTGGGTATTTTTCTAGTCTCGTTTTGATATTTCCTTGGTAAATTATTAATTATCGTCGGGTAGAGGTGCTTAAGTGCGATTACTCATTTCTTACAAGTACAAGGATACTTACTTCATTAATCTCTCAAATGATTATTAATATCATATTCAAATTTTTCGGGGAACCGCACTACTACTTCGGTAACGGTGACATCAAAAATCCAAGAAGAGCGTTCACATTAATGGCACTGATGGTACACAAAGTAGTGGTGATAGTGAGAGAGGGTGAGGGAGACAGAGACTAAAAATTTAAAACAGACAATGATTATAAAATTATAATTTTACAAATTTCATCCTATAGCTCTATTGTAGTGTATTACAACTATGTAACTAAGCAAATTTTGAAAAAAGAGGAAAAAAGGTAAAGCGAGAGGGAACGCATTGGGGAGAGAAGGGGTGAGAAGAGTAAAAGGCACACAAAAGCATAAGTACAAAGATATACAGATTTATTTTATATGTAATTTGGGTTTACTTATACTACTAATCACTATCTACCTGATAAATTGCTTTCCATTAACAAAAATTAGAAATAAAGAGAGAGCAGGAGAAGGAAATAGAGAGTGTGAATACAGAAGTGAGAAAAGAAAGGAGAGAGAACACACCAGATGGTGACGAACTGAAAGACAGTTTGTGTCGACAAACAAATATGCATAGAAATAGTTAATTAGTTTATTTATGTTGTTACATTGGGGTCGTAATGACCAGGAAAAACAAAAGCCTGATGGGAGGAAGATACGCTTATGAGTTAGTAGAGAGCACGGAAAAGAAATATTAAACAAATTGAGCATGTTAGACAAATGTGTGAATGAACAACAAATTAAATGGTTAGTTACATAACTAGGCACAAACTTATAGAGATAGAAAGATCGAGAATCGATTGATTGTTTGATCGAGAGTAAGAACGTTTGTGTTAGAGAGAGTGAGATGTGAGAGAGGTGAATACAATGAATACAATATTGGCAGAGGTATGGATAAATAAAAAGTGAGTCACCCTCATCAAATAAAAAAACAGGGAGAGAGAGAGAGAGAGAGAGAGAGAGAGAGAGAGAGAGAGAGAGAAAAACTGAAAGGTACGATAGCAGATAAACAGACATGCAAAGAAACAGAGATTTATTTACAGTGAGGTTGTGATGATCAGAAAAAAAAAGAGTTAGTATATATATATATGTACTCATGAGACAGTAGACGGTATGAAAGAAAGTGAGAGAAAAAGAGAAAGAATGAAAGCGAGGGAGAGAAGAGAGAGAGAGACACGATAGTGGTGATCTGTAAAGAGAACAAGGCTGAGACGGGATATTCGTGAGAGGAAAAGGATGTGGAAGAGAAGCGAGTGATAGATGGTGTCAAAGAACTAGGAAGAAGTGAGTGGTAGAATATGAGAGTTTAGGTGTAAAGAAGAGAATGAGAGTGGAACACAAACAGACTGAAAGGTAGAGAGTAAAGTGCGTTTCAGTGCGAGAGGGAGAGATAATGGTTGATAATAAGAAATAGTGAAAGTAGGATAATGAGAGGGAAGGAGATAGAGATAGATAGAGAGATAAAGAGAGAGAGAGAGAGAGAGAGAGAGAGAGAGAGAGAGAGANAGAGAAAGAGAGAGAGAGAGATAGAAAGAGAGAGTGAGAGAGAGTGAGTAAGAGAAAGAGAGGGGGAAATAATAGACAGACCAAGGAACTCTACAGAGATTATTAGCGAACGAATATTATTTTCGTACAGGTGGCCAAATGTGGGTTCGATTTATTTTAATATATACTTGAATATATATTAAATTATAAAATATAATTTATTTACCTGTTAGGTGCAATTCTTACTTTCGGAATAGTGAGGTTAAAAATCGCCAGGATCGAACCTTGTTTTTCAAAGGTATGTGGATTTAGACCTTACGGTTGATATATGTTGTGCGAAGTCGTTAAGTTTGATACATCGTTCCATTTCTGTGTTTTAGACTAGAATTCGGTGGGCGTCGCCGTGCTATTGCCTATTGTTGCTTAATCTATAAAACCTAATGATTTCAACTGTGGGAATAGTCATAAATTATCGTTCCCCGTCACGCCCATGTCAAAAATAAAAGGGGGCAACGTTTATTTCTTATCCAAGGGTAGATTAACAGCAAATACCACCCTTTGCTCAAGCATTCAAATATATTTGCATTTCCAAGGTTATTGGAATCTGTTCAAAATTAGAAAAAATAATAGTTCTCTCAGTCAGCTCGATCTTAAACTGTATTTTTTTGGTATTTGGAACATCTTTAATTTTTTATTTTGAAGAGTGGTGTGATAAAGTGCCCAAATAATTAAGATATTGTTAGTATACTTGGAATTGATATTTATTTTTGTGTGTATTATATTTGTGTTTATGTCAGGTTATTTTAAAATAGGTTTACATTAGAAGAAAGAGTTATAAAATATTAAAATCGTCGTCGTTTTTTGATCGCCATATTTTGTTGACATTAATAAAAAATAGAATTTGCAAGAAGTTTAGTTAATTAGAGTATCATATTGTACTGCTTATAATTTTCATCATTCATACCTATCTCTCTCTCTCCCCCTCTCTCTCACACTCACTCACTCACTCTTTCTATCTTTAACTGCTTTTTCCAATATACACATTTTTTTACCTTACTCATTTATGTTTTACAAATATAATACAACGGGATGTATTGGTAATTCTTGATTATTAAGGCATCTAGAACATAATGAGAGTACAATTTGTATATGTGACGATCAGGTATTAGGTCACAGAAACATTGAAACTTCCAACTTCATGCCAATTTTTTAAATTTCTAAACATCTTCAAAGCCTAATACGAAAACACATAAAACTATAGTCGTATTGATAAATCACAGTATTATCTACTTACTGAGTTAGTTTAACAATTTATTTATCACGTACATATGTAGATGATTATAAAGCGTTGATTATAAATAAATAACATATTAAAATAGCAATTAAAAATCAAAAACACTAAAAACAACAACAGATAAATTATTTTTTAACAATGTGGTCAATTTAATATAAATAAAATGAAATAGCAGACAACCTTAGGAAATGATAACCTTCAACTGGAGAAAGTGAACATCGATAACATTGATAATTACAATTATTGATCACTGAGTGTACACATGGATCGTGTCCGGTGTTTCTTTTTCTTTGTTTTAATATATTCAATTATATTCTCATCAATATTGCTTACACCTATCCTGTTTACTTGTATATTACAGTTGTTTTTGTTTAATTTTATGTGTAACTTTTCTTTACACTTTCGTCTGCTCGACCACTTTCCTTTGTCCAATATTTTGTAATTTTCCAAATCGGTAAGTGTTTTGAAGTCCAGTAGCTTGTCTACTTTGATTCTATCAATTTAGTTTATGTAGTCGTATTCGGTCACCCACTCTTTCTAGAGTTTCTCCTATTTTTTGTCACAATTTTTGCAATTTATCTCCTGGATTATATGTGCTTGGTTTTATAGATTTTCTTTACTTTTCACGTTTGAGTGTAATTGTGATATTTTCTTACAATATTTATAGGCTATCAGAATATTCGGAGCAAATATACTAAAACATCCTTTTTCGTTTTTTCGGAAATGTTTGATACATATGTTAAAATTTTTATTGATCGATATTCCGATAAGTTATTTTTCATAGGACTATGTTGTGTCCGATAATATCCGGACATGACGAGGTAGATTTTTTTCCCTTTTATGAATAGGTGAGTAAAGTTGCTGCATAGGGATTTTGGGTAATTATTTTTATGCAATTTATTTATTTTTTTATTCCCTTCCAAATACCTTTTGTTGATTGACAGCACCCACGGCACAATTTATCTTTGAACTGAACGAGTGTGCAGATTTAAAATGGAAATATCTGTCCGTATTTATGTCCATTGTGTGCTTGTCTGTATAAATATTTCCATCCTGGTGTGTTATCACTTTTACGTCTGGGTATGGAATGTACCCATTCTCTTCCTTCTCGGGTGTAAATTTTATGGCTTCATGGTAACTGGTTGAAGTTAGATAATATTTCAGACTATTTGTCACTAGGGATGAATAGAAATAGTTCATCTACATACTCACAAATAAATTTTATTGTATGTGGGATTTGTGCAATTACCCATTTAATCATTAGCTAATACGGAAGATGGCACACCACCCATTCCAAATTTCTCTTGTTATTTAAAGTAACTTCTCATACCAAAAAAAATCGGCTTTCCACAAACAAGTCTAATGGTATTCTAATAATTTTCTC